GTGTCCACGGGAGGACAAGGAAGTGGAGTTTGGTGGCCCTGTAGCAGTCCGTCCCACACAGATGTTCTTTTTCCTGTCTTTTCCTTCCTTAGAAAGCTAACATGCTCCTCAATGTTTGCATCTAATTTTTGTCTCTCGCTCTCCCACGTCACCACCCAGAATCTCAGTGTAATGTGACGTCACAACTTGTCTTTAGTTCAGTCAGCGGCCAGTCCTGTTCCTAGTGTGATCTGAACGTCATTTGTCGAGAGTCCTGCATCTCAGGTAGAGCCTTCCAATGTCCTGGCCATGGGGAGAGTCCCCGGGCTGTTCGTCTACTCACCCAGGGCAAAAAAACAAATCCAAGCTTTGTGTTCCTGCAGGTCTTCCTCCAAGATTCCCAGGAGAATCCCACAGAAAGCCGAGCAGGATGAAGGGGCTTCCCCTTCTTTTAATATTTTCTTTCCAGAGGGCTTGGGCTTCCTGATGTGTATGGCTTTTGCCACCGACAAAAATTGCTGCAGCATTAAAAATAGAAAAGATTTGAGGTCACTTTCCAATTTGATCTCAGCTGGTGATTTTGTTTCTGCACAAGCTAACCGACCACACAGATGAGAAAGAAGGGAGATGACTTCTAAGCCATTTAAGCTGTCGGTTGAATTTATAGGCCGCAGGGCTGCATGACAGAACAACACAGTGTTGGGAAGAGTATCTGGACTGAGCTCTGGGGAAAGCAAGTCAGATTGGAACGGAAAGAAGGAGGCTGTGGTACAGCCCAGGCCGCTGGCCAGAGGTGCCCCCAGGCGGATCCTCGCAGGACTCAGGACGGGGCGGAGCAGCGATGCCCAAGAACGTTCACGACCGGCCAGGGACTGTCACTCCCTAGGGGTTAAACTCTGAAAGGTTTTTATTTTTTCCCGATAATTTCTACCAGTTGTTCTGATGAAGCCTCTTTCCCACTGGGTGAGGGACCCCTCGGTGGAGGTCGAATCTGATGTCTCCTTTGGTTAATGGTTAGTTCAGTCCGGTTGAAATTTCAGTCTTGAATATGTTCAAGTCACAGCTTTCTGTTCCCCTTGGAGGCTTGGTGTGGCAAGGCTGTGCGTGCTGTGTGTGTGTGTGCATGTGTGTGTGCGTGTGCGCGTGTGCTGTGCGTGTGTGCATGCGTGTGCGTGTGCTGTGCGTGTGTGCTGTGAATGTGTGTGTGTGCTCCCGTGTGTGCGTGTGTGTGTATTATGTGGTGTGTGTGCATATGTGCTGTGTGTGTGCATGTGTGTGCTGTGTGTGTGCGCGTGTGTGGTGTGTGCTGTGCGTGCGTGCTGTGAATGTGCGTGTGTGTGCTGTGTGCGCACATGTGCATGTGTGTGCGCGTGTGTGTGCATGTGTGTGGTGTGCGTACGTGTGTGTGCCCGTGTGTGTGCCTGTGTGTGCATGTGTGTGTATTATGTGGTGTGTGTGCATGTGTGCGTGCGTGTGTGCTGTGTGTGCATGTGTGTGCTGTGTGTGTGCATGTGTGTGCTGTGTGTGTGCGCGTGTGTGGTGTGCGTGCATGTGCGTGCCTGTGTGTGCATGCATGTGTGCTGT